GCACACCGTGAGCCTTTTACGGCATGGACACAGGGTGAGCTGGATGAGATGGTTCGACGGAAGAAGGACAAGGATTCCAGGCCCACCTACAAAACCATTGCCCGGTTCCTTCATATCAGCAACTTGAGGCTCGCGGCTAGGGCACCGTGCATTGAATGAACCAGTGACTACTGGAGGACTAACTCGTAGGGCAGTGCATTCGGTGAGCATTGCAGGTTGTCGTGATGGTTGGGATTGCAGTCATGGCGGATCGCATGATTTTTGCTTGCTTGGAGCTGCTTGGCATTTCGACCAGTGAAAATATCGTTTGCTGTCGCGGATGTTGTTGCTGACTTGGATTGCATGCATAGCTGAGCTGCTAAAATCATGTCGGAACAAGATGTGCAGACATACATTACTTGGACCCATGGAGCGCAGCCGACGTGGTTACAGTTTCACGGACCTGGTACCAGACTGCGTCACCTCCAACCCCGCCAAGGTTTCCAATACTTCTTCCACCTCCGCCTCCTCCACCGCCACCACCACCGGTGATTCTACACCCCACAGTTTATGCCCTCAGTGCGTGCCTCCTCGAACCCTTCTCCTCGAGGACAATCCTGCCCTGCCACATCGAAATCGCAGCGCGCACGACGCTCGATTTACAGCACTGACCAGTCCCGTGATGATGATCTGCGCAGTCCAGGGCGTTCATCGAAACGCTCTCGAACAGCATCCGCTTCTGCACCGCGGAGATCTCGGCGACCCTTCACCGTGTTCCCTTCCAAACGAGCCACCCGTCCATCGCTGTCCCCATTGGCAAGTTGCAAGCATTACTGTCATGCCTGCCTACGCCATGGACGGAAATGTCTTTCTCCCTGTGCTCGTCGACGCCCAGGACACTATCATTGCAGGTGTGTGCGGCATCAGCGGCGGTGAAGCATAGGTGTCGTATATTACAAACCTCGCTGCTGTGTCTCACCTTCAGTTTGAAAAGTTGCCTTGCGTTGCCTCGGTCAGCACTCTAGTTGTGTTTGGTTGTCATTGCATGAGTGTCTTAGCCGCAGATTTACGATTTCGGCCCTGCGACGACCTGTCTTGCCGCTATGAACCCTCACTATTTCGAGTACCAGATCCAGAGAGGAGTGGAATGGATTCGAATTTACACACCAAGCACGTGGCGACCCGTTGCCACTGATACTCTAGTTCGTGCCCCAATCTACGCCTCCACGTATCGGGAGTGGCGCAGGTCATATCGCTTCGAAGTGCACTGGTCCGAAGACAGCACCGGAGGAACAACCACGGACCCCATTGTCACGCCCAGTTCGTATGTGTCCTACCACGTGTGGGAGTACCGAGACTGGGAAACACGAGGGTATCAACGACTTGGAGTTCCTTTACCAGCCATTGGATTGGCGGCGCTCGTGAATGCAGACGCTACTTCCTCGGTGGAATCATCTGTTCCGGATGGGGCGTGGCGGGAACCTTCACCACCACCATTCTATGATCCTTGGAACGATTCGGAGTGATACTTGAGCAACCTGTCGGCTAAAATGATGCGGTTGTGCCTTTGTTGAGAGCGACATCATGTTGGGTTGTCTTGGATTGTGTTGTGCTTTCCGTCTTCATGTGTTCGCCGCTTCCCTTTTGACCTCGAGCGGCTTGCCTGGTTGCTATGTTCAATTCTACCATATATGGCGCTGCACGATGGCCCCTGCCACGCTACTTTGAGTACGACATCGTCAATGGCCCCGCGAACACACGCGTTGAATGGATTCGGGTCTATGTCCCTGGTCCGTGGCATCCAGTCGCCGAAAACACCTTGGGACCTGCCCCGGAGGACTCAATCACCTATCGGGAATGGCGCAAAGTCTACCACTTCGAAGTGTATTGGCCGAGGGACAGCACGGGCGGCACCAATATGGGCTCTGTTTCTCAGCCGGTCTCCTATGCGTCCTTCTATACTTGGCATTATCGGGACTGGGTCACCAGAGGATATCAACGGCTCGGTCATCCACATCCTAGCATTGCGCGTCCAGTTTTCGCTTCGGGCTCACCGGACCTCATGTACGCTGGACTGACCTCTTCGTCGGCATCCTCGAACTCAGATGGTGGCTGATGCTCGTCCTCGTCTTTCTGGAGATTCTATTCAATTCAATTTGATCGATGAGATTGACTTCGACACCTGAGCCGTGCATTGCTGCAAAAGTGTTTGCTTGCATGGTTGTTGTTGTGTCTCTTGTAGTAATTGTTGTTTGCAGCCGTACACCTATCAATCTGTCCTCCCGGGTTTGAGTTGTCATGCCGTGGCTGGAGTGGTGTCCGGATCCTCAACAACCAGATGCCCAGTGGGTCAAGATCTTTCATCCGGGATCATGGACTCCGCAGGAAGAACATGATGCTCCACCTCCACCTCACACATACAGAGAGTGGAAGGAGTTCTATGTTCCAAATCCTGATCAAGACGGTGCGCAGCCCAATGACAGCATTTGGTACAAAAGAGACTGGGCTACAGAGGGCTATCGGAGAGTTGCTGCCCCTCAAGCTGGTCATGACTTTGATTCGATGTCTTTTCCTGATCAGCATAACGTGGCCACGCAATCCTCGACATTGAGTATGTCACCGCAGATGTTGGAAGCGATTCTTAGATCCTCGGATGCAGCGGCTTTCTCCACTGAAGATGAGTCAGCTATCGGATCGCGCAAGACCAGCCTGTACGTGCATCTCGGGGAATTGCACCACCGGAGTCTATTGGGGTCTCTGACCCATATCGGCCTACGAATCCATCAGGCAGCACCACCGCGAAGGTGAAGCCTATCTTCGAGCTAAATGATGGCTAGACTCACGCGTGTTGGGCATAGTACAAAAAGGGTGGTTTTCATACTTGTACTGCCTTGCTTGGTTGATGCTTGTGCATGGTTGTGCATGGTGCCTGTTTCTTCACTAGCTGGATCTGAACCCGCGGTACGCCCTGCCTCTTACTTCGGCATGGACATCGAGGATGCGAAGCAGTACCCATGGCTCGAATACTTGGTCTGGCAGGATCAGGAGTGGGTGCGGATCTATACTCCAGGACAGCCTCAGCTATGGTGACCCGGAGAAACCGTACCTGATCTACCAGACAACTCTTTTCGGGAGTGGCAGCGGGTAACGGATCCCAGTGGTGGGACTGGTGAACACGGTCAGGCATGGACCATTCGCGACTGGCAGCATCAAGGATACCAACGCATTCTGTCTCGAAGGGAGTCCTTCACTACACATCATTCTCGTGATCAATCACTCGGAGAGGTGCAGAATTCCGAAGCAATTCCTGTTGAGGAAATGTTCACCTATGACACTCCTATTTCTGACGGTGATCGCTCGACTGCTTCACAATTCGCTTCAGTCTTCTATGGCGACACTCGTAATGCTCATCGTGGTGATCTTTCGTTCCCGTCTTCTGAGCGGTTTAGGGCTGTTTCGCGTTCCCCTCGCCGCGGTGGATATTTTGGTCAACGATAGGGACACGAAGGTGAGCGTGTGATCTTCCTGCAGAAAAAGAGACTTCTCGCCCCTCGTTGAGGGGCGTGTGTGTGCGGAGTGACAGAATACCCTGTCACCACCTTGTGCCGGTTTGGAAGCAGGGGGGCTGTCCACTGCATGGAAGTGACGGCCCAACGAAGAGGCTTCCATCAGTGCTGATATGGATTCTGGACGCAGAATCCACGTACCTGCAGTGATGAGAAATGTCCTTTTGGTCCCTCCCCTGAACCGCCGTTGCTGCTTTGTCTCCCTGTTGAAGTAGCTAGAGTGAAGCCAAGCGACCTGCAAGCCGATATCAATCAATCCCAGTTGTACTCGAGACTCATCAGTTGTACTCGAGACTCATCAGTTGCACTCGAAAGATTAGCGCTCTCCATTTGGAGTTTAAGTGTGTGTGTCAGGGGTTTTCGTCAGCCATTGTGCCTTTTTTAGATTGGACCCCCCAACAAAATTTAAGGTGGTTTCTTTTTGGTTTCCCTTACAAACCTACCCAACAAAGCGAGAACCCAAAAAAAACATGGGGGTTAATAATTATTCCTGGCGCCAAGAAACACCACGGGTAACTTTTCCGAAGTCAAATCTTTTTTGGCCCCATGTTTACCAGACCTGATCAATCCCTTGGACCCCCCAAAATGGGTCTCCTTTGGTTTCCCTTCACAACCCACCCAAAAAAGCATGTACCCCAAAAAAGAGACATGGGGGTTGATGCGTAGCTTTTCAACGCGGTGAAGCTCGTACCTTTTTTGGTGGCTTCCCTAGTGGTCACCCCATGTTTACTGGACCTGATCAACCCCCTGGACCCCCCCCCCAAAAAAATAATTGGTCTCCTTTTGGTTTCCCTTAACACCCCCACCGGGGGAGAGGATAGCCTCAAAGACAGAGCCACATGTCCAGGAGTCTGGGTACTGGGCGGCTCTCGGGCGCGCCTTCAGCCCGGCAGCAAGCCCCCGCAACTGCGCCGTGTATGCCGGTGAAAACGTTGGCAGGGGGATGTGGACGGAACCTGAAGTTGCGATTTACGATTTTTGGTTTCCATTGCCTGTGCTGATGTTCGGGCTTGTGTGGGCTGTTGCTGGGGATATCTCCCCAGGGAGATATCGGCCTGCCTCCCTGACAGCGTGTCCAAAAATGCTGCTTTCCCAAAGTGCCATTTCCAATCAAGAAGGTCTATTCACAGGAAATGGTTGTTTGAAAAAACCAGCATTTGTAAATGGTTGTTGCATGGGGTGCGGAAAGAGGCGGCCTCAGGACGCTAGGCCCAATTTCCTCGTTGCCTTTTGGCATGCGCAAGAAAACTCCGCAAGCGTTTCAGAAGACCAGGCGCTACCTCGAAACAGAAGTCGGCAAGTAGACACCTACGCGCCAAGTCTTCACAGTGCAGATAGGCTGAACACGGCGCAAAACACACAAACAGTTTGACCAGCTTCCAGGTGAATAGGGCCCCAAGCACTTGCAGATGCTTTTTGGCCAATCAGAAAGGCTCGTTTCTGTGCAGCTTCTTTATGCCTTTCCCCGTTGCTTCTTGATGGATCGCTCTCGCTCGCCACGTGCACGGACGCAGCCAAAGAAGATCCTGGTCACGGGCAGTGCCTGGTCAGCAATGCGATCGTAGAAGCTTGGTGAGCAAATGGGCGTGGCTCAACAATCAAAAAAAGCTAGGGCTACCCGCAGGTTTAGTCTTTGGCCCCATTCACCGGGCCAACCGATGTTGATACACCTTTTTGACTCACGGCCAAATCATTCAATCCTACCAGGACCAACTGCAACGTATCGACGTATGGCCATTCTTCCCCACCTATTTCGAATCCAACAGCCCTGTCAGATATTGGGTTGCGCTGAACCGGATTTGTGATGAGCCCTGTGTCCGTCGTGTACGTGGCAAGTGCACTTCTGGGGGGCATCGTGCCAAGCAGAAGTCAGAACGAGCTCACCTCGTAGAAAGAGTTCGGCTACGGTGGGGTCTTACTTGAAAGTTCCTCAGCTGTTGCTAAGTTGCAGCGGTCAAGAGACCGATTCCTTGACTTGGGGTCAGGGATGGTCATCCACTTGCTAAAGGATCCTTAAGAACCACTACGATGATTCCTGTTAAGGGAACCATGGCCCAATCGGCCATATGGGTGTGGCTCAAAATTGAAGAGCTGGAGTTATCAATGCAGGTTTCAGCTTTTGGTTCCATCTACCGAGAGAATATTTTGTGTTTGCCACAGCCATATGGGTCATATGGGCATGTCTTGTTTTGAGGGTACCGCTTCTTGGTCTATTTCAAAAGGAAAGCACAAGAACACTTTTTGTTTTTTGTGGAAGGGGGTCCAAGCTAAAAAAGGCAAAAAAAAACATATAAGGAATCCCTTTTGACCCACGGTCAGAGAAATGCGCCCAGATCAGCTCCCGGGTTTGCTTTTTCCCTGCGACCCAGGCCATGGCTTCATCATGGGCTATGTGATCCCCCTCTTCTTGGAAGAGGGCCATGAGGCTTGCGATCGATGCCATGGAATCAGTTGGGTGTCGCTGCTTCTTTTTTGAGGGGACCCCCATTTTGTATGGTGTCAAAGGGACGCAGCTATGTGGCTTTCTTCTCTCTCTTTTTTTTGGGGGGGGAGGGGGATTTTGCTCGATGGTCACGAGTGCAACATCAAGACCTCTTCAGGTCTATGGCATCGACAACTTTTGGAAGTATGGTCCTGTCTCTCGCAGCTTTGAGTGTCCTGCTCGAAAGCAAAGGCAGTATGTTCAGCTGCGGCAATTTCATTGGCAGAGTGTTGGCATCAAGGCTCTTGGTCAAGCCTTTGCTTTGACCTTTTGACGGCGTGCTGAGTGCGAAGCCATAGCTCGCAGCTTAGGAAGCACCCGCGCTTCCACTTCACCAAAGGTGATGCAAAGGATGTGGATCTGCTGAGGAAGGCAAGCTGCCGAGAGCCCCGAGCAGCCCGAGCAGCCCCCACCACTCGATCATCGTGCATGTTTCTTTGGCGAGTTAGGTCACTTCATATCCGTACCTGCCAGATTGTCTTTGACAACAAGATCGAAATCTTCGTCGCAGCTGCCGCCATCATTGGAGGAATCTCCATGCACCTCAGCAGCAATTCTGCTAGCACCTGTCCAACTCTGATTGCTGGCTGCCTGGCGGGCTGCCTGGTGGTTTGCCTGAGGTTTCATAAGCTGGCTTATTTCCTCCTTGCCGAGAATGAGCGCATCACCTGCCACTTGGCAACATGGCGATGAAGTTGATCTTGGGCAGGCTGTTCTCAAGTTGCGAGTTGCCTTTTGCCTTTCTCAGTGCGAAACGAGCAGGACATTCTACGGGAAGCTAGCCAAATACCCACCAAAAAACATGTTTTTTCTTGTAGAGCTTCCTGTAGCTGCTTTCTTGGAATTAGATTTTGACGGCCTCAAGTCCGCCTGAGGTTCTGCCTTCGATGTTTGCGTTGAGGCACAGCAGGCGCTGGGCTTGCTGTACCGCGTAGACATGCCAAGGACAAGATGTTTCAAAGGTCTCATGCCAGAAATGCTCGAGTGGCGTAGCCAGATTTAGACTGCGCATCTCTCATGTCAGTAGCCATGTCCAGGCGGGCTTCTTCGAGAAGGTGGTGGTGATCAGCAGCTCAATGGTCTACGAGTGCAGCGACAGCTTTCCATCCAAGGACTCAAAGTCCCCCCCGCTGGATCCGGGTTCACCTGGATTTTGTTCGTTTTCTGACAAGCTCGGTCCGTGTACATGGCAGCAGGCATCGCCGTTTTTTTTTCTTCCCCTCCTCCTCCGCGTAGCAGAAGTCGGAAGAGCCACGACTTGGAATCGCTCGAAAGGCAAAGATTTGTAGCTTGCCGATCCAGTGGATCCCAGGCACCCTTTGCCATTTTCCATTCGATGTTGAAGCGCTGGTCCCCTTTGTCAGACAAATGGATCTGGGTCTGCCTTGCTCCAGAGATGTAGGGACCCGATGAGCCGCTCACGATCACACAAAGACGAGCGCCAGCACTCGCACGCGAAGGCGCAAAGACAAGTGCCGCATGAAGTCGCGATGACGCGCAGTCGCGACGAGCTAGAGCTCAGATGAGTAGTTGCTGAAATTTCAGGGCTCTCTGGCATTCTGTGGCCCTTGCTGTCCAATTCCAAATTCTGAGCCCCGATGCCTTGTTTGCTAATGGCTTGCTCGGACTGGGAAGGAGACGGACCTGAAAACCTGCCCGCCGCCGATCCTTGGCTGAAAATTTTAGTGATCTCAGGGCCTTTTTGAGAGCAAGCCAGGGGCCCCTAGGTCGGTGGGCAGTTTTGGGCTGGCATAGGTTAAGGGGCTTGAAAGTGCAGGAAGCGAAGTAGCGGCAACTCCTGCGATCGCAGGAGGTGCAGTCCGCGGCAAAGCGCCGCGAGTCGTGCGGCTTTGTCTCGAGTGCGACTGAGGCAAAGCACCTACGGATTCCAAAAGCTGGCATGCGAGTACTTTGCCAAGGGCGCTTGGGAGCAGCACCAGCTGCTCGGTGCACTATGCAGCGTGCCATGAGTCCCATGTGGGTATGGGTCAAAAGTAAACCACCAGGGAACCGCAGGTTTTAGTCCCTGTTTCCATTTACCAGGGTTCCATTTTGGGTACCTATTTTTGACCCACAGCTATGTGGTTGGCTTCTTTCGTTTTTGCCAGCTTTTCCGCGCGGAACTGGTTGATAGGTTAGCAAAGGTTGACACCTTGGTGTTTAAGCCATGCGCCTCAGGGTCCCGTACACAATAATCCGCGCCTCAGCTGCAAATGACATGAGCGTTTGCCAAATGTCCAAGAGCTGCAATCATCAGATTCACAAGTGGCCTTGTGAGTTAGGGAGCAGATTCAGTGAGCAGCTTGTTGCCCATGGCGCTTTATTTTCCAAGTGGAGCTTCTTTTTTTCTGTGCGGCTCAGGACCCTTCAACGCGGTTGGCATCGGGGAGCAAAGGGCCAAAACCGACTCGGAAGTGCTCAGCGGCAATGTAAAGCTAGCAGCTTTGCTTGATGAAGCCCTGGCAGATTCATTTGTTTGAGTTTCCGGCATGTCATGGTAACTGCAGGCAATGTCACACGTGGTGCCGGACCTTGTTCAGAAGGTGCTCAAGGGCCAGAAGCCGACCCTGGGCTGGCATTGGACATGGGCAGGCAAAGAGCTGGGACAAAGGGAACAGCTCCAACCGTTCATTCCTTCCCATCCGTTCACCTTGTTCACTCTCTCACCCTTGACCGCCAATGGACAAGTTCTCGTTAACACGGTCAAGGGAAGGGACATATGAAAGAGAAATAGCTTCAGAATCCATTCCTTCGTCTAACCAGTTAACTCTCAATTGCCTACCCTAAGTTGAGCAAATGAAGCAAACATGATATTTTAAAAGATTCAGAGCAGGGGCTTGAAGAAGGAATTTTGTGCGCTTCACTCAGACAAGCCCACGTGGGAGGTCCTCTCCAGTGTTCCTTTGATCAGCGTCGACCAAGAGAAGATTCACGCATTAGGACATTCTAGACGATTTGTTTAGCAGGTTCCTTTGCTTGGTGATACTTTGTGTTGAGGTTGGCAATGTAGCTCCCATTTGCTTTCCATGCGAAAGTTAGAAGCTGGGGCAGGCGTTGCAAATTCTCGGAACCGAGTGGGACATCCTGCGCATGCTGAAAAGGGTTTGAAGGAAAGGGCTTGCAGGAACGCTTTGGGACATGTCCAATCCAGCTGTGCAGGTTGGGCAGCTGCACGGGCATTCTGAAGAGATTGTAGGACGAAGTTGTAGGGTCTGCCTGGCAAGAATTCAGGGTGCGGGGGGGGGGAGGCCAAACAAGAAAGTCTCATTTTTCACGTCCCCTTCCCCTGAAGAGTGGGTATTTGTGTGTGTGTGTGTGTCTATGTGTCTATGTGTCTGTGTGTCTGTGTGTCTGTGTGTCTGTGTGTCTGTGTGTCTGTGTGTCTGTGTGTCTGTGTGTCTGTGTGTCTGTGTGTCTGTGTGTCTGTGTGTCTGTGTGTCTGTGTGTCTGTGTGTCTGTGTGTCTGTGTGTGTGTGTCTGTGTGTCTGTGTGTCTGTGTGTCTGTGTGTCTGTGTGTCTGTGTGTCTGTGTGTCTGTGTGTCTGTGTGTCTGTGTGTCTGTGTGTCTGTGTGTCTGTGTGTCTGTGTGTCTGTGTGTCTGTGTGTCTGTGTGTCTGTGTGTCTGTGTGTCTGTGTGTCTGTGTGTGGTGTGTGTGTGTGGGTGTGTGGGTGTGTGGGTGTGTGGGTGTCTGTGTGTGTGGTGTGTGTGTGTGTGGCCCCCCTGTTTCTAAGGGGTTTCCGCTGCCCGTTTGAGTTTGGAGTCGGACGCCACCTCCCGGCATGATCAGGCGTGTAGTAGTCAAGCAGGTGATGGCGTCCCTGAAGAGGAAGCTTGCTTGACGAACAATGTCCTGACTTGCTCGGAGCCGAAACTCCATTCTCCACTTTTCACCTTCCAGTTGCTCGGGGGTGCACCATGGCAGTTTCGCCGTCTCATATCAAGTGTGTTTAGGCACTGCGTCCGGGCTTCGGTCAGTGTCTTGATCCCCGTTGTGGGCATCTGTTCCGACTCATGCAAAGACATTTTCTACAGACAGTTGCCGGACCTTGTCGCTCGTGACGCTTGACTGTTCCAGCTGACCTTCTCAATACAGGCTTGGACTTCTCCCAGACGTTTCGGCACCCATGACTGTTTCCGTGGACCCCTTTCAGTCAGACAAACTGTTTGACTAACCACCAGACCACCCGACACATCAGGCCAGAACTCATGACGCCGTCAGCTTGCTCTTGGCTCGCAATTGTCGGCAGCAGATGCCACGCCCCAACGCAGGTCCGATGTCGAACTCAGCAGGCCCTATGTCGAAGGCCACCAATCACACAGCGGGTCCTACGCCCCAGATCACCAGTGAGCCAGACAGCATCACCGAGCAGGAGTACACTTGTGGCACCGACCTTCAGCACTACTGGCACATCGTCCGGCATCTCGATGGCCGCAAAACCTTCGGCTCCATCCCCTGCTCCTCGTGTCGCAACGGTGCCTGTTTCTGCTTCTCCTACCCGGCCTGGATCGGCTGCTGGCCCACTGCCGCGAATCCTGGTGAAGGCGCGCCCAGCAACCCCAAACGGCTCCAGCTACAGCATGTCCGACTCCGGCTACCGCACCGACCTCTACGGCAACCCCGCGGACTCCCACGGTCGCTCAGAAAGCGGCAGTATCAGGTCCTACACCTCCACAGCCAGCTACAACGCCCTCGGCTCCCAACCAGGCCACCCCAGTGCCAAAGCCAATGACCACCACGACTAAAGCACCGACTCCGACACCTACATCGTCGGCATCTCATCCATCCAGTCAGATGCTGCCACCGGCCAACCCACCGGCAAGATCACGCAGGGCGAACGATCACGTTCCCACAAAGCTTCCCCCTACTCCAAGGCAGTGCCCCCACAACGCCGAAGTCGAGCTCGCTCCAGGACGCCACCACCGATCTCCCGAAGGGACGCACGGTCGGATCGCTCATCCACGGCAGCAGCAGCTCTCGCCACTTCCGCGACTTCAGCGACTACAGCTTCATCCCAGCGACCGAGAAGCAACAGGCCCCCGCTTCCGCGCAGCAGAAGCAGTGCTCCATCGGCTCCAGCTCCTAAGACCACCGGTGCTTATCCAGTTACAGAGTCGTCCTCCAGAAGTACTCAACTACGTCCGAATCCACAGGCACACCCACCGCTGATCCTGCTCCCCAACCCACAGTCCGACCCGTGGAGGAGAGAACTTCAGGTACTTGCCTCGCAGTACGTCCGCGACGGGACCCCGGTTAATCAGGAGCAGCTGGACTATGTGGCCGCTACCCTAAATGCAGCAGGAATACCGTCTCAGCACTCCACCTTGGCCTATGCAAAGGTCAATTCGGACCATCACTACTCCAAGATCACTCCACACTGGTTCATGCTGACCGTCCCCTACCTCGGCGCCACAGTTAGGCTCAAAGAACCAACGAAGACGCGACCCATGCTGCTCTGGACGCACGCTTCCAGTATTGGCGGTACTCGAGGCATACTACGAAGCCGGCAGATACATCCTTCCCGGCAGCATAGCTCGGAGTGCCCAGCCTTTTACGCCCAAGGTTGGAAAATCACAGGACACGCCGACTACGCCGCTGAAGAAATAGCCCGGATGATGTCTCAGAACTGGAGTATGTCTTTCAACATGGCCCAACTATTGCTGTTCGGGCGCGCCGTCGGTACCTGTCAGCCGATTCGTGGAGGGGGAGAACGAGCTTGCATCGAGGCCTTGGGTTCCAGTGAGCGTCCTGACGTCATACACTATGTTGCAGGCAAGTGTTGGCTGGTGATTCCAGAAGCCAGCCAGATCGTTGGACTCGCATGGCCTACCGACGCGAAACCACCCACAGGTATTCTCCGCTCGTGAACCTGCATCAGGCAATGATCCAGATGACCAATCTACCACTTCGGCAGTCATGCTTTCCATGAGCTTTATCGATGCGCTGGTTTTGCTACACCGGCAACCCGATCAAACGAGGTGCTGCGCCTGATGACCATTAATGATGTTTCATTGCAATACCACATTGCCGTCTCCGCCCGCCGAAAGCATTTTGCGACAAAAAGTGCATGCCGGGGCCTTCTGACGCAAGCACGATATTTTGCTGGTCTTCTTGACGTGGTTTCCATGGTCTTGTGTTGATCCGCTTGTGTTGATCGCTTTTTCTTAATTTCCGGCCTCTGTTTGAAAACCTTTGTCAACGTGTCAACCCGTGCCGCATGCCCAGCGTTTGGTCAATCAATTAGCAAGTGCCAGAGATAAACGACCATCCCTTGATGGCCTCTCAGTGGCCCTACTCATGGCCGGCGACTTCGGCAACCCCTTCTTGGCAACCGATGTCTTCGCATCTTCCATCAGGTCCCGCAGTCCCAGACAGCAGCCTACTCGAGCTCCAACCGGATGGAACCCGTGCAGCACCAACCTCAAAAAAAGCAGTACCCCGGGTCAATCCTCCTCGGCCTCCACATATGACCTACCAGTTCCCACCGCAGCCTCCTGGCCAGTTTTACAACTATCATGGCGGTGGCACGACCCACATACAGACAGGTTCTCGGCCCCCACCGCCAGCATTACTAGTTCAACTTCAGCCCCGTGCGCCCCTAGGCCAAGGCGATACAACGCAGTATACTCAGCCTCGCTATGCGCAGCTTCTTCCCGGCACCTTTCAATCTGATGACATCTTTCTCGACAAAACGGAAGTCCGTGGCCTGCAACTATACCGTCATATTCAACCCACTCAGTGGTCTCGCAGGGTCGGACTCGCAGGAACAGCAATTCTAGATCTTCCACTGACGCGTCTTCTTCGTGGAGGAGCAGAAGATCACGCGCTCAGAGCGCTATCGAACGGGCGATGCAGCACACCGGTAATGGCTCAGACAATTGCCGAGGCGGTGTTATTGACATCAATCCTCAAAGCCTTGCGAGGCAGGGAAGTCGACATCGATCGGACAGCCCGCTCCCTTCACCCGGACAATGCGCCAGACAAGCGCAATGAGGCCATGCAGTTCATGGAGCCGCTCACGCTCAAAATCGTGGACCTCATGGAGTCCCTGCAGCCTGCCAAGCAGGAGAACCTCACCCGCCACAAAATTGCCGAATTGGAACATCAGCTTGAGCGCTACAAGAGCAAAGGCATCACTCTCACACCGGACAAGAAGCAGCCATCTTCGCCTCCTTCCAACACCACTTCCTGGACTCCCACACCTGGCCGCTCTGACCAGTCCCTCTATATCAACAAAGCGATGTCGGATGCTCCTGGGCTCCCCCTACCAGTTCCTTCTCCGGAGGCTGATCCAGCTCCCAAACGACGCCCGGCCAAGCGCAAGACTCCAGAGGCCGCCCCGGACATCACCCTAGATCCAGAGCTTTTACGTCAGGGCAATCCTAAGGGCCAGCAGGTCCCACTTCCCACCAGTCTCACGGACAAAGTCTTCAAAGCGTGGTTGCAGGAACGCACGCTGACCAACCAAGCGACTTATCTCGACCTCGTCAAGCAGGAGCTGGCATCGGACACGGTGGAGCAGTTGAAAACCATTGCAGTCAAGTGGGGGGCGACTATCTCGCTGG